TAGACTAACACGAAATTATTATCCCCTAAATTTGCCACGATGTACATCTAATTTTTGTCTGCACGAGCCCTTTCGCGTTCTATGTAATAATTATAACAACCTTTATCACTTAATTTGTACTTCAACTTCTATCCCGGTATTAAAAACTAATATTTTAACTCATTTGCTTCATTCTTAGATGCTTCTTTTATTTTCATTTGTGTCCCGTCTCTATTTGTTTTTTGTATCTTCCTCGCGAACTCGTATTTTTTGCCCAAATTGATAAAAGGGCCCCGCTCGTAACAAGCACGTGCTTGGTGTCGTTGGGCCACTTGTTTGTACTGCTCGTAGTGCATCAACGTCCATCATATAAAATGTTTGAACTTGCTGTTTAAAAACATAAAAAAAATGCGATTTATTACTACACCCACCACGACATCCCCTTAAAAAGTACATACGTATATTTATACACTGGAAAAAATCTTTTGAATATGTCACCAAGCCCCGATTATTTTCAGCAACATTTAATTTCTTAATGCCTTTAACTAAATATATAAAAAAAAAGGAAAACGAATGGATGGAAATATTAAATTAATTTGTTATGGAAGGAAAGTCAGTGAGAAAAATTATCTCAAAGTAAACAGTGGCTATACATGAATTGTTTTGTATTTAAATACACTGAATTAAATCTGTTTAATAAATAATTATAACTATCCTGAATTATGAAATTATAGCTAATAAGTTTAAGAAAAAGAAAATAAGAAATAAAAGCAATAAAGTGGGTCAACTTAGGAGAAAGAATTAATTTTTTTTTTTGAACAAAAATTAAATATGATGCATAACTAAAAGTTTCCTTATCCAGGAAGTTGGAGTGCCAGGGTAGGGCAGTAGTCACTCCCAGGGATCCTTAGGATGAACAAGTGGACAACAGGATCATGGTAGGGTGGGCACTTCGCGAAAGTGTATTTCTCTTCTTGTGGCTTTTTTTTTTCTTTCTTCTATTTTTAGAGTACACGAAATTATACAAAAACACAATAAAAGAATCTTATACGGACAACGCACACTAGAAAGATCGAAAATCTACTTCGAAAATCCACACTAAAAATGTTGCCGCACATTCCGTATGCCGAACAATGTTTTCCATGTTTTTCTTCCAATTGGCAAATTAGGTGCGAGATGCAATGCACATAGAATGTTGGTAGCTAACTTGCAAAAACAGTGTGGCTTTTTGTCCCGTCTTTTATAAAAAAGAAGGAAGAAAATAATCGGGAAACAATTCACTTGCTCAAACTTGACTTACTGCAGTGCTCTTACCAAAACAAATAAAAGATAACATATGCACACACGAAACAACGCCGTTTTTTTTTTGCTTCAAGATCAACACAGAGAAAGAAAACATTTCTCATTCATAATAGGAAAATAAGCTTACTACAGCAAGTACAAGATTACTCTTACAGGTCGTTCTTATGGGAGCAATGTATATACAGATCTTTAAAAATTTTTCAAAATCTAAAATCTGTATCTGTTTTACCGAAAACGAAAAATAACGGCTTCTGTATTTTTACCCGTATATTAAAACGGTGTACTGATTTGTCTGGAAGTACGTAACTGGTAGAAGGAAGCGTTTCCGATCCCATAAAGTGTAAATATTCTTGATCACTAGCCGAGTCGTATGAGCGCTGAGATCTCGGAAACTGTAAGAGCTAGAGTGTTGGGAATTGGCATGCAGATTCTTGGGCTTCCTGCGCAGCGCAAGTTTGTTTCAGCAGGGTGCCGCGCTCACTCTAACTGCAAACGCCCACAAACGACTATAACACTAAAACTCGTCTAGCGCCCACATGCCAAAATAGCTCGATTCCAAAGATTATTGAAATCGGACCAGTCATTAAAAAGTTATAACCAAATAATATTCAATATTTTGAAATTCAATCGAGATTGCACACCACACACATTGCAGCAAATTAGCAATTTTCACTAACACGCCACCAAGCCGATAGGGGCGTATAGGCTAGTTGTAGGCCAAGTGGCGCTGTAGGCTAGTTGTAGGCCAAGTGGCGCTATAGGCTAGTTGTAGGCCAAGTGGCGCTATAGGCTAGTTGTAGGCCAAGTGGCGCTATAGAAGAAGATAGGATGCGTTATATGCTGTGTTAGTAAGAAAAAGCTGAATTGCCTTATGGATATCTACAGAGGTGGTCAAAAGTATTTTCATTTGCATTTTAGTGCATGCGTCCGAAACAGCAGGTTGTGCAGCAAGTGGGGAGAAGTAAAGTGCAAAAAAGCTTTTGCTTTTACAAAGTCTATGCTATGCAGAGCCAAATGAAACAAAATAATAAAAGAAAATAATTAAATAAAAAAGACCTCTTCTTGTTACCAAAATATACCCGAATGAACGAATGCTTATCAGGTGTCAAAAGTATTTAGACACGTTTTTTTTTGCTTCAAAAGTATTTTCACATATCTTTATTAAATTATTTTTTATTTTTATATTGAACTTAAACAAAAATTTTATATTTATATAATTAAGGCACTTAATAACGAGTTACTCCGCCTTTGGCATCAATAACAGCTTAAAGCCTTGCTGGTATGGAAAGGACCAAGTAGTGCGCAATCTCAAGAAATAGTTTGGGCCAAACTTCCTGAATTTCGGATATAATCTCGTTGCGCCGGCGATCCCTGTCAAACGTGTTCTGAATTTTAATGAAAGCCCATACATTTTTATTGATGTTGAGATCGGGGCTCTGGGGGGCCACGGAAGTAAAGCCTGAATTAGGCATTTCAGGAACTCGGTTGGTACTCGTCCCTTGGGCCAAGCAGCATTGTTTTGCTATAGGATCCAGTCATATGTAGGAAACATTCTGTTTGATGATGCAAATGCATGGTTATTAAAGATATAAAGGTATCCTACTCGATTTAATGTTCCGTCTATTGGTACCTTGTTTCCAAATCCGTAATAACCGTAATTGTTGTTGGATTACCTCGTATTATCTGTTACTGATAGCGACACAATGAAGTATTGGCGTGTGCTCAATGCAACATAGGCATGTAACCACAGCCATGCTTCGTGACTTTAAAAATTAAAATCTGATCCGCGTGCTTTTCGAGTGAGCGGCCCTGAGATAGAACATGGAAATTTCTGCATCAGTGTTTATAAATGCACACAAAAAACTCTTTTGCCAAATTGACAGATAGAATATTTCGATTCGACCCATGAAATAAGTTAAGTAACTATAAGTACAATAGTTACGAAGTAACTTAAGTAACTATAAAGCAGGGTAAAATTTGACCATCGATTACAGTCAAGTAACAAGGTTAACTAACACCTTCTTTAAAAATCACTCGAACAGGTCTACATGAGAGTGGGATAAGGTTGAGGCACTGCTGGATCTCGAACGTCTGTGAGCATCTGATTACTGTCCGTGACTTACCGTGACTTTAGTCACGGCTTCGGCTATCAGATACCCGTTACTCAGCTAAGGGGAGTGCGAGGGAAATGGATGTAGGCAAGCAGCGAAGCGAGTGTTTCAAATATTGCACATCCCGTGACTACGCCACCTAGCGCCGATTCCAATATTTGCTTATAACTTTTTAATGGATGGTCCGATTTGAACAATTTTTGGCGTTAATATAGATATTAATAATCAAAACAAAATTGATTTTAGACTTGCAAAGACTTACCGTTATGTGTGTGTGTGGGAGTTAGAGTGGGCGTGGCAACATGCTGAAATAAACTTGCGCTGTCTCAGAACCTCTAGAATCTGCATGCCAAATCCCAACTTATTGCTTTTATATATAAGGCAGTATAGGGTATAGTGACAAACGATTCGTTTATCGAACATTTTTCAAAGAAAAAATATTTTCAAAAGTTTAAAAGCCGGAAGGCTGACTTCTATTGAGTATATTCCTGTAAATGTTTGGTGGTAAAAATCCAGCGCAGTTAAGTACTACAGCTCTAGGCGTAAACCAAATTTTTTTCAGTTTTAAAAGTTGTAGGGTAAAGTGACAAACTGATAAATATACACTAAAACTCTATCCAGATGTAAAAATAATTTTTTGTATCTTCAAGAAAAGTTGAAAATGTACAATAATGAAATACATTTTTAACTGTACACAATAAGTTCTTCAGTTCTGGTTCACAAAATTCAACAAAATAAATGTTTTTTAGTTATCGACTGTAAAATAGAGACAATAATGTCATTACAATGTCAACGAATACCAAAAAATTAATTCTTCATACACTACAAAAATTTTTTTCACGATACAAGGTACTGTTGGAAATATGATAATGTCACTTTTATAAGGCGCAAAAGAAAAAAAACACAGAGTACCAATAAATTTGCGAAAGATATTGTTAATACTTGTATACACCCTTCAGTTCTGCAGTAGGGACGCGGGTGACATGGCTCAAGGCAAAAAGACTTCTTGTTTTTTTTTGTGCGTAGAGAAGTCGGCGCAGCGTAGAAGACTGCCTACGAAAACGATCGTGCAACAAAGAGAGGCAGATATTCGGAAAGTTCCCTCTTTCTTTGTCTTATAATCTGCCTGCACTCCGGCGCTCCCAGAGACAAATTTCGGCCGATTTCTTTTGCGTCTCTCTGTTATGTTCGGCTAGCGCCTAACATATCGGCGAAAAATTTTCGTGGAGCAGCGACATGTGAATATCCTAATATTTAGGATCATTATTGTATTTGGAAAAAAAAACAACTAATATTGTTATAAAAAAGTAAATTATTTGATTTTAGTAAAATTAAATAGATTGAATTTACTTATAATGTTATGTATACACGTATGTATACATTTTATTACAATATACTTTTTTAGTTAAGTTATAGAAATTTAGTCCGTTAAAATTGATTTCAACATTTAAAACATTTTAATATTAACATTTGTAAAAATTCGTATTGAATTTCTTACTCAAGAAGAAAAATTATATAGTGCGATATTTTTCGCTTTAGAAAGGGTATAAGTGCAGTGGCACGCGCCAACAGCGAAGAGCAAACAAAAGAAATCAAATAAGGGTGAGAAGAAGACTTGGTGCATTCTGTTTGAGCGATTGAATGGGAAGCATCCATTTTAATTGTGCGCAGCAGAGTTACTTCAATCGTTTCTTTAAGTAAATATAATAAGTCAGGTAAGTGCTACGTTAAGTTTAAGATATATGCATTGATCTTAGTTTAAAGTACGTAAATTTTGAAGGTATTCGATGGCTTCTGTTAGCCAAAACTGGATGATAAAATGTTTTGTGTCAAAAAAAATTCCCGCAAAGGGTTTATACACAGCTCTAAAAGGTAAATATAAAAATAAACAAGTAAAACGCATTTTTTAATAATATGCCAATACATTTTTTTAGAATCGTTGGCCAAGGACTCCGAGAGGACCCCGACACGTGTTTGAGAAAGGCGATGAACGCACGTGAAAAACAAACTAACAAATCAAAAAATCAGAAATACTAACAATAATTGTCCCTTAATTGAAAATCTAAACACGATCTAATTAAAATGAATTTTAATGTAATTAAAAATGTATGTATTTTAAATTCTATATTTTCATGTGTGAAAACTCATGGGGTAAATTCGGAATTTCACAAGTAACTTCATATCGACAAGTCACTTGCAAGTGATTTCATGAGTGAAAAACTCATTGGAAATATTTGAATTTCACAAGTGATTTCACGTGGGACATGTCCTACGGGATTGACAAGGTGATTCACAAGGGAAACTTTTTTGGAACTGAAGGGTAAATATCTGATTTTGTTTCCACAAATCTTTAATCTGGCACTGCTGAAACCGTTATAAATTGAATAGGTTTTTAATTTTTGCTCAACCTTTTTAGTAAAAATTATCTTACAAACCAAATACGCGAATTCTTTATAATAATATTGTAAATACGTTGTCGGCACGATTTGAGAAATCGACTACAATTGGGAATTTGACCGTGACGTCATGTGAGAATTGAGAATCAACTTTCTCTACACTCCCCGACATATACGGACGGACAGATAGACAGACAGGCATGGGTAGAATGGCGAGTGGTCGTGATTAAAAATATATATACTTCATAGTGTCAAAAACGCTTCCTTCTACCTGTTACATACTTTCCGACAAATCTTGTATACCCTTTTACTCTACGAGTAACGGCTATTAGAGTGTATTCATCCGTTTCCCTTTACGCCAAATATTTATATCTTCACGTGGTCTATTTACTGCATTTGTATCATGTCGATTACCATTAATAATGATAACGGAAGTCCGCTTATCATATTATACGCACTAGATATATACTATAGTTTTGATAATAAATACTGACACATTTTTAATATATGAAAACATTTAATTGTTTTACTTTACAGCTCTTCTAATAGATAGAATCCAGACCGACGGAAATTTACAAAAGCTTTTGCATCTACTTATTTAAATAAAGTTCTTGAATGCTTATCATTGGACGAAATATATGAAAACGATCGCCGAACGCTTGCTGCTTTACAAACAATAAAGGGATGTCTAAAATATACCCAAAAGGAATAAAATGTAAAAAATCTTTGATTGAAAAAGTATTACTAATCTTTGTTAGACCACAATAATGTTGATGTTGTTCATCAAACTGGTAAATGTTGGCTTTTGGTACAGAATGTACCCGGTAATTGTAGCAAAGAAAGTTTTAGTGATAAAACAGTATGGAAAGATTTCCAGCTATCATTACTTAGTAATCTTCAATATATCATCAACAGAAAATTAGTAATTACTGAGGAAAGGAAAGACTTCCCTTCTCAAGCAAATATCTTTGGCAATTTTTCCTTTTAAAACAAGACAATTTCCTTCTGAAAGGGTATCACAGTCTTTTCAACGAGTTTTTAATCTTATTGAATATTTAAAAATTGCTTTAAGGTAAGAAAAACATTTTAACGGTCGTTTTAAAAGTTGCAGCGGCTACTTCGAATCCTGTGCAGCTTTATTTTTTTTTACTTTATTTTCTCTCAGTAAAATTTAACTATTTTTAGCGAACAATTTGTATTCAAAAAGTACATATACTCACATCAAATCTTGGATTTTATACACAACGGACTGAAAGTAAACTCCAAACAAACAAATAACTTTCGAGTTGATCATGCATATTTTGAAAGCTTTTTACCCAAAATGCACATTAAATTATTGGAACTTTTGAAAATTCTTATCGAAATGTAAGTAACTGCCATTTTTAGATAATAACACATCAAAATATTTTGTATATCCTTAAAAATGTTGTAAGAAGCAAATGTTTTAAATCTTAAGATATATGAAAAAAATAGAAAATTAAGGATACCAGCGGCATACAGCCTTAGCATTGAGAGCTAGTGCAGCAAATTTTTACTTGACACTAGAAAATTTGAAAACGAAATAAACCGAGATCGGTTCTTCTCAGTTTAAGAATTTTATCTTCTCACTTTGTCTTCTCGATATCGAGACGACAGCGAAGTCGATTTTTGTATTCCGAGTCAAAAGCAATCTTGATTTTGAGGTTGTCCAAGAGAGACTTGAGGGGAAGACGTAAAAAAAGATGAGAGTGAGAAGAGAGAAATACCGAACTCCTCTTTTAAAG